AGAAACTGGCCCTCTCCTCGATAGATAGAATGCTCTACCACAATGAATCTCCTAGCAGCATATCGATGTCATCCGAGTACCCCCCATGTCTTGAGCATCCCCTGATCCAGAATCATGGGGGGTAGAAGACTGCGGAAACGCCCCCATGTCTTGAAGCGTCTGCGGTCAGCATCAGTAGCAAATGGGATGTCTGGCACAGGCAGTGGGTCTTGCCTAGCCAGTCGTGACTCCTGAGAGATGGGGTCGTCACTTCTTCCTCTAGACATCTGCAAAAAATAAAGTAAAAAAAATTAAGGTTAGTTTTTTTGAATGGATTGCCTCCCAATGAGTGCTTCTTTAACGTCACTAGCTTGACGAATTCCCTCCTTTGATTCAAAATTTTTGGAGATAGAGAATCTCCTTGCTTTTTCCAACCGAGCCACCATGGTAAAGTTTGAGTTGGTGGCCATTGACTTTAACCGGGCCACCGTGGTAAGTATACTCACCCATTAATTTTATCAATTACGAAAAAACTGTTTGTGAAAAAAATTAGGAAAAAATTAAATATAAACAAAAATAAGAAAGAAAATGATGTAACTCTTTACATGGAAAGTGATAGATGAGTGGTGAAAATGGGGAAAAAGTAAGACTAAATCTAGAACAACAAGTCAATACTATATCAAAAACTAGCGAAATGGGATGATGTGAATAGCGACAAAGAAGTCACCAACTCGCATACTCATATGATGCTTGTACTACAAGTGTCCGCACTAGTGTAGGGAGGACCGCGGAGTTCCCTATTACTATTGGAGTGCACCAAGGATCTGCTCGAGTCCGTTCTTATTTGCTTTAGTCATGGATGAACTTACGAAGTCAATTCAAGAAGATATACCGTGGTGCATGATGTTTGACGACGATATTGTATTGATTGATGAGACACAATCCGGTGTTAAAGCAAAGTTGGAAGTATGGCGACAAACATTGGAGAGCAAGAGTTTCAAACTGAGCCAAAGCAAGACTGAGTATATGGAGTGCAAGTTCGGTGGAGGTAGAAGTAGTAGCAACAACGGGATTACTCTTGATGGTAAGGAGATACCGGTGTGTTATATGTTCCGTTACTTGGGATCCATAATTCAGAAGGATGGTGAATTAGATGGAGATGTATGTCATAGAATCAGAGCTGTGTGGATGAAATGGAAAAGTGCTTCAGGATTTCTATGCGATCGAGGTATGCCGACTAAACTAAAAGGTAAATTTTATCGTACAACAATTAGACCGGCATTAAATGTATGGCGTAGAGTGTTGGGCGGTGAAGCAATGCCACATTCAAAAGATGAGTGTGACAGAGATGCGTATGTTGCGTTGGATGTGTGGACATACCAGAAAAGACCGCATGAGGAATGAGGTAATCAGACAAAAGGTGGGAGTAACACCTATAAAAGATAAGATGCAGGAGTCTCATTTGCGGTGGTTTGGGCATGTGCATAGAAGACCGAGTGATGCACCTGTTAGATGACTTGAGGGGTGGGGAGAAGAGTTAGAGAAGAGAGGGAGGGGAAGACCCAAACAGACTTGGATTAGAGTAATCAGAACTCATATGCGTCTTCTTGGGTTGGATGAGAGTATGGCTTTCGAGAGAGCAAAGTGAAGGGCGCACATCCATGTGGACGATTGATGTCTTGTCTACCTCTCCTCTATTGTTTCTTTTATCATTTATCTTCATTATCTTTTTATATTCTTATGTTATTTTTATCTTCTAACTTTTTTATGCTCTTTTATTTATTTTTCTTTTATCTTGGTTATATTTTTGTGTTATTGTTATCTTATATTTATGAATCTTTATTTTATTCATTTTATCTTACTTTTTTTTCTTTTCTTGTCCGCCTTCTCTTTTTGGCATCGATATCATAGATCGATCAATGTTAGCCGACTCCAAATTCTTTTGGGATTAAGGCTTGATTGTTGTTGTTGTTGTTCAATATAGCATCTGACCTATTTTACTGAGTATTAGGTGGCTAACAATGAGCATCAAATATCCGCTATTGACATGAAAATCACAACTTTTGGTGAATGAGCATTAATGAATTTTAATGAGCATCAAACCTATAATGTTGAGTATTAGGAGTCTAGTATTCAGAATCGTGATCTCTATTTCGTAACTTCTAATTCACTTTTATTTTTATTTTTTCTTTAATAAAAATTTATTACATTATATTTATAATCAACTCTTATGAATTTCAATATGTGAATCTAATTGAGAATAATACTTTTTAAAAGCATTGATATGACATTTACAAAATGAGCATAAAATCACTACCAGATGAGCATACATAACTTACAAAATGTTCATTGATATGAAAATCGTAAGGTTTGTTAGGTTGACGTAACGACATTTTGGTTGAACATCAAACATCCTCTCTATTGAGATGAAAATCACTGTTTCTGTTAAATGAGCATTAATGAACTTTTAATGTGCATCAGACTATTATGAGCATTAAAACACTTTCAATGAGCACCAAACTTAAAAAATAAACTGAAACATCTAATAGTATTTTATATTATACATTTTCATTGATGGAGTATATGGGCTTGGACCCCAGGGCCCACATACTCGGGAGAACAGAAGGTACCACGACCACCTGGTGGGACCCTCGTCGGCCAGATGACCCCCATCGGTCAGAAAGAAGTTTACTCAGAATGTGATCCAGAAGCCGGGAAGAGCCGGGTGATCTCATCGGCCGGGTCTTCATCGGCCATGCCCTCGTCGGTCATGCCCTCGTCGGTCATGCCCTCGTCGGCCATAGACAGTCTCCAGAACAGGATTTACACTTAATCTTTTCTATGTACTTTGTATCCGGCCCATTAGTGGCCCTATTGTAGATGGGCTTCCCAAGCTCAAGACTTGGGAGCCCAGCCCTAATTTTTCCTATAAATACTTTCTCTGGGAGTAGTTGTAAGGGTTCACAATTCATCAATACAAAGCAGTTATACTACTTCTCTCTCTAGCTCTCACTTCTCTCTAGATTTATAGTCTATCATTCATAATAATTGAATATATACCAATAAAGTAGGAGGTTGCTAAAAAAATAGAACAAACAAATAAAACAAAAAAAGGAGAATAAACAAAAAGAAAGGAAAGAAGCACCGACGGAATATAGAAAAGTGAAGTAAAAAAAAAACATACAACTCTCACTTACGGTAAAGCTAAAAAGATACCAGATGAAAAGAGCTCTGTGGTTGAAGAACCTAAGCTTATAAACTCATCCGAGACGAATGGGGGCTTTGATTACCACTTCCACCAAACCACGCCGCCGGAAACCATAGAAAAGTAAGGATGACCGTGAGTGGAGCGGGGGAAGGAAGCTCAGCCTATTAATTTTCATCTAACTGGCTACTAATTACAAAAAAATCGAGTATACATATACACCGGGGCGTAGAATATAAATTGAGGAATGTTTATATAGACGGTTCACCAAATACACCAAACATTTGAGTTTTTTTCGAATTAATGTTAATTAATTATTTAATTACGAAAATAATGTTGGAAAAAAATATTTACCGATCTACTGTTGGGTTTAACCATGGTCAGGGAAAGTCGCCCAACGGTTGGGCGACTTATAAGTCGTCAAACGGTTTGACAACTTATAAATCACCCAACCGTTGAGTGACTTTCCCTTTAGATTTTTATAATATAATAATATAATAATCTAATAAGAATATTTAAATAATATGAGTTTTTTTCGAATTGGTTTTTGAATATTTAAATAATAGGAGTTATTTAAATAATAGGAGTTTTTTTTCGACTTAAATAATATAATAATCTAATAATAATATTTAAATAATCTATTGTAACCAGTTAGTTGAGGTTTTTGCTTTTATTTTGGAAATTCCGTTTTATTTAAGCTCGAGAGAACAATAATTGTGACCAACAACTACTGCCATCTAATATTCATACTCGGACACATCAAGACAACATACAAGAGTTTAGAAGAGAACATACGTAAAATGTTGTAAATTATTCCTACAACATCTACTGTACAAGAAAAACTGCAATACAAAAGGCAAACTACAAGTTCTCATGGTCATCTTGATCATCTTGGTCATGGAGATGTTGCTGCTGATGTCTACGCCTACGCCCTGGTCGTGTTTGAAGAACCACTCTCTCATGCTGCGTCTGGGATGATGAAGTCGCCACTGCACTAGACGTCGATGCCATCTCCTGAGATGGGGGCATGTGTATAAGATGGCCGTAGTCGACTCGCCCCAACACATCTGAACACAAGGAGACAATGCCTGTCAGAGTCTGTCCATACATGTCCACATCATGAGTATCACTCACTGTGGCAGTAGCCTGCTGATGTATACACTGCAAAGCTCGTGTCTGAAATATGAAACACAATTACAATTACATTGAAATACATACAAGTATTCAATAAATAAAATGACTTACTTTACTACTTAGTAATATACTCACCGTAAGATGCAAAGCCAAGGAGCTAGGCTGATAATGATGAGTAGGGAGTCTGAACGAAGGAGACACAAACAAACGAGTGATGCTGTAATAGCATCTCATGTAGTCTCCTGAAACAATTGGGACAAATGTCGGTGTCCCAGTCACAACTAGCTCAGCTCGCCTGTCCCACATAGTGACGTATCGGACATGTCTGAGTGCCCAATCCTCCGAATGCTTCCCACGCCTATCCGGCCTATGAAGCTCTCTACATAAGTGTCGATAGGCCGTGGAATGACCTGCTCAAATCTAAACTGTCGCAAGACTCGATCAGGCAAATGAAACTCAACAATGTCAAAATTCAGCAGTAGAACCGTAAATACTTTTAACCTAACATTATTTGTGTAATTAATCAATTAATTAGCATTAATTCGAAAAAAATCTCCAAACATTTTTGTTTTTACACATGGATAGTATTCAAATAATCAAATTAGCTTTTCCTTGCTTTTTACTGCCTCCTATTTTGACCGGGTTTCCCATTTTTCTCATCCTCGAACACATAACGGACTCCAAGACTATTTTCGAGAAAACAAAATTTCAGGCGACGCGCATGAAAGCTTTGCCATTTTGTCTCTAATCCAATCCTAGGGAGCAATCGAGCCTCTCATGGCGGTGGTGTCTGCAATGGCCAACCCATGGGACACGGTGTTGGAGCTCACTAAATTGGCTCAGGACAGGGCGGCCGACCCCCTGGTGTACGCTCTGCAGATTTCATCTACGCTCAACGCCGCCGGCGTTTCCATTCCCTCCACTGACTTCGCCACTATCCTCGTCTCTCACATATGCTGGTCCAATAACGTTCCTATTGCTTGGAAATATCTCGAGAAATGCTTGACGCTCAGGGTTGTCCCTCCCCTCTCTGCTCTCGCTCTCCTCTCTACCAGGTCTTCTTCTTCGTTTTCTTCTTACCTTCTGCGATACACAATGGTTTGTAAACTCATTTTACTAGTCGCAGTGGTCTGAGTTTAGCTAGTGTTGTTTTTACTGCAGAGTTATCCCTAACAGAAAGATCTATCCAGTGGCCTATAGACTGTATATGGAACTTCTGAAAAGATATATCTTCTCATTGAAGTCTCAGATTAATGCTCCGCATCATCAACAGTACGGTCAACTTGCCCCTTTACTATTGTAAAAAAACTCACACATATAATATGTTTTTCATAATCATTATATGTTTATTTGGATGATTATAAAGTTACCATTACGTTCAGCCACATATTATTTAATTAGGACACATTTAAATATGAAAATGCAGGACAATGGAGTCCATCAACGAGATTCTTAATCTTTCCAAGGCTTTTGGGCTCCCAGATGGTGATTTTGGGTTGTTTATTGTGGCATTTATTTTTACAATTGTGAGGGAGTTGGTTGATGCTTCACTCGATGATGAGGGATTGCTGGAGCTCTCAGCAGAAAAGGAATCCATGTGGACAATGAGAACACAAGATATGGAGATAGACAATCATGATGCTTTTATTGGGAAACGAGCAGAACAATATGAGTTATTGTCTAAAAAGAATACCATAATGGCCACTGAAATGCTTTGTGATTTTTTCCGGAACAAAGTGACTTCCAGAGTACTATTCTTGGTGCGAAGGAACATGTAGGATTGTATACTTTTTGCATTTTGTCTTTAATGGTCTTTTGTTAATCCAACTGTGATGATCCTATTAATCTGACTTTAAAAACATGCTTTTCACAGTTTCTTTTAGTGTGTTCTATGTTTTTCTTTTCCTTTTGAGTAAAATAAATTTTAATTTTGCATCTATTTCTTCTTGTTTTGGTCATAAACATATAATTGCTCTATTTTTTCTCATTAGGCCTTCTTATTGGGAGCCCTTTATCAAGCACTTGCAGTTGCTTGCCTCAAATTCAATAGCTTTGAGAAATTCAAGAAGTGTTTCTCCAGAGGTTCTTTTGCAGTTAACATCAGATACAGATGTGTTCCTGTCAAGGGAAGGTAAAAGAAGCACACTGCACCGGATGAATGCAGTAGTTGGATCTTCACTTGTATCTTGTCCTAGCCGAAGTCATGGAACCAGCCCATCAGCATACTGGCTGCCCATCGATCTCTTTCTTGAAGATTCCATAGATGGGTCACAAGTGTTAGCTACAAGCACTGCCGAAACACTTACTGGTAACTACAACATTTCTTTGGTTCACTCTCAAGTAGTTGCATTTTCTTTCTTTTTCATTGTTCACTGGATCAGTATTGCCGTTCTAGTAAAGTTATACTTTACTTTTATCATAATGCTAACTGCTTTAGTATTTCAGTTCTAGTGAAGGCTCTTCAGGCAGTTAACTGTACCACTTGGCATGACACATTTCTTGGGCTATGGGCTGCCGCACTGCGGCTTGTTCAAAGAGTGAGTGAACTTTAAATTCATTAATATATGTTTAATATGTTTTTTCCTGCAAATAAAGCATTCTTTGTTTTAGATGTATGTGATGTTTTTGTTTTGTTTTCGTGCTGCAATTTTTGTTGGTCTTTAGCCCCTGACTAACTCTGGTATTAGGAAAAAAATTGTTGCTCGTTTAACTCTACTTCTATATTTATACTTTTTATAACTCTTTGGAGACTATTAATTGAGAAAGGCTGAGCTAAATAACCCTCTGGGGTTGTTAGACTAACTTGAACCAAAGAGTAAATGATTATCTCCTTTAGCTAGAGTTTGACTCCTGCAGAGGGCCAGTGAAGTTAACTGGATGTCCGGATGTCCAGATGTTAAGTTTAGGATCCATGAGATTATTCAGGCCAAAGGTCCAGGACCCTCTCATCATAAAAAAGGCTAAGTGAAACATGCTATTCACACTTTCAGTATAGCTGTATAGGTTTCGGTGGCTCTCTGACATCAAGGTTGACCGTAGTATTTCTGAGAATTATTATAACTCAAATAAGCAAAACCGGAATTCTGTTAGTCATGTCAGTTTTGTTCTTAAGCAGAGGTTGCTACAGAGTTAGAGATGGACTAAAAATAAAATAACATCAATTGCATGGATGAACAAAAAAGAAATCATTCTAGAGGGACCTAAAGCAAAAAAACACTGTATTTAAAAACATATTTAAACCTTATTGTCTTAAACCTTATTGCATTAGTGTAATTGCCATCATACTTAATATCTGGTTTTATTTCTTATCCTTTAGGAAAGACATTCATCTGAAGGACCAGTACCTCGTCTTGCTACGTGCCTATGCATGCTGTTATCTATTACACCACTTGCAGTTGTAAACATTATTGAGGAGGAAGAAAGGGAACTCCTTCATGCTAATCAAGGAAAGGATTGTTTAGGAAAGCGTCGTCAAGACTTAGTTTCAAGTCTAAAACAATTGGATGATTATGAAGCTTTGTTGTCTCCACCACTACAGTTAGCTTCAGTGGCAAATCAAGCCGCTGCAAAAGCGATGATGTTTCTTTCAGGTCTCACTGTTTCCAGTGGATACTTTGATGGCATGAGCTTGAATGACATGCCTTCGAACTGCGGTTAGCATTTCCTTTCATTCCCAATACACTTTGAAGATAGTCACCCAAATAAATGTTGGTTCCAGTGATCTTGTGGTTTACTGTAGTTGGAAACTTGCGACACCTGGTTGTTGAGGCTTGTATTGCCAGAAATATTCTGGATACTTCTACGTATTTCTGGCCTGGATATGTAAAAGGTCGATGCAATCAAATACCATGTGGCATTTCGGGCCAAACACCTGGCTGGTCTTCTTTGATGAAAGGGTCTCCTTTAAGTCCTCCAATGATGAGTGTGCTGGTTTCCACCCCAGCCTCAAGGTATGACAAGTTGCAGTTGTCTTGTGTCCTTAAATCCCTTTGTTATATTTCATCATGACCACTTAATGCAAGTAATCGATGATATATGTAATCAGACACTTAAAATAATTGCGTAGTTTTCTTGTCATATGAAATAAATGGGACAATCTATTAAGATGTAGAATGAGAAGAAGAGCTCAAATCAGAAGCACGAACGATGTGAAAATTTGGTGATGTCTTTTCATACAAAGTTTGTTTTTGTAATACACAGTTTGGTGGAGATATTTAATCTATTTTAATCAAACACAGATTTTTTTTTTATTCAATTACTACTTTTTTACTGATACGCTACTTGTATCATGCAAGTGAGCCTTCTGGTGTGCTGTACGAGCAGTCACAATGCTACACCTAAATTGTGAGACATGATGATTTTGAAGGGAAAAGCCTATTCGTTTTCTCTCTACTAATGTGACTTTAAACACCTAAATTGTTTGGTAGGCACTGCCAATTCTGAGATTCGGCTTTCTTAGTTTTTTTAGAGAATAACATTTAAATCATATAGTTATTTTTTTGAGTTTCCATCATTTGCAATGGAGCCAAAGATTCATTATTTTTTGGCTTGAGGTTATGATGGAATAAAGCAAAATGGCTCACTAAACTGTCTGCGCTTCTTTGTTATGGAGCAGCAGTCAGTCCATGCAATCTTGGACGCGATTTTCACTATGGGTCATCCGGAAACAGTCTCTCTGTGCTTTAGTACAAGGGTAAGACTGCGTACATCCGACCCCCTTACCCCACCGTAGGTGGGAGCCTTTGCGGCACTGGGGTAAATGAAAATTATGAGTTATTTTTTTGAGCCCTTCACTGCACTGTGGTCACTCTTCATCATAAGGTTGGGCATATAAGAATGGTTTTCCTGCATTCTTGCAATTTGTAATGCACCTAAGTTTTGGTTATGTGTGTGATGAAAGTTTAGCAGAATTGGAGAAAATATATGAGTTCGCGGTAAGTGGCTCTGATGATGAGAAAATTTCTGCCGCAACAGTTCTCTGCGGAGCATCTCTTACTCGTGGTTGGAATATACAGGTAATATGTACTACTTTATATATCTTTGGAACAAATGTAGACAGTCGCCACTGACTTCCCCAAGTCCCCGACCATATTGTTCTAATTTAGGATTCATTATGTTTTCTTATCTTGTTTAAGTTAATTGTCTTGAAGTACTTTATTAATTTATTGTTTAAAAATGTATTTATTTAGGGTGTAGTACATATCAAGGTAAAGGGAATTGTCTTATTTCCATTATGACGCTCTTTCTGTGCTTGCAGGAGCACATTGTTATGTTCATCACAAGACTGCTTTCACCTCCCATTCCTAAAGAATACACTGGAAGTGAAAGCCATTTGATACGTTATGCTGCATTTCTGAATGTCCTTCTTGTCGGAATATCATCTATTGATGGTATACAGATCTATTCCTTGCATGGATTGGTAGGTAGAACATTTGAACTTCATGTGCTAGTTTCTAATTCCTAAGTTATTGTCACTATCAAGTAATAGTAATTGAACTTGGTCACACGGTAATAATGGAGTCCTCTCCTATCTGACAGAATTGCTTTCTTATTTTTTATTGAGAAAATCTAGCAAGATCTGAATTCTGGAGTTGGTCAATGGTGTAATATGTAATGATTTCTCTCTCTTTCTCTCACTAGGTCCCACAACTTGCTGCTGCACTGATGCCAATCTGTGAGGTCTTTGGTTCTTGTGCACCCACCATTTCTTGGGCTCTTACCAGGGAAGAATTATCATCCCATGAGGTATTTTCAAATGCATTCACTCTTCTGCTAAGGTTATGGAGATTTAATGAGCCGCCATTTGAAAGAGTAAATGGGGAATTATGCCCAGTGGGGTCCCATGTAACTCCTGAGTATTTATTATTGGTGCGCAACCGTCAGCTGGCTGCAACTGAAAATTCATCAAACGATCAAATCAAGTGCAAGCGGTTTTCAAGGCTTTTAGATCCATGGCATAGAGAACCTATATTTATGGACTCATTTCCAAAGTTAAAATGTTGGTACAGGCAAAATATGGCATGTATGTGTTCAACCCTTTCTGGTCTTGAACATGGAACTCCTGTTCATGAAATTGTGGAAGCATTGTTGAATTTCATGTTCAGAAATCTAAGCAGGGGTGGACAGCCTGTTACACCAACTGCTTCTGGAAGCAGTAATTCATCTGGGCCTGGTGGCGAAGATTTATCTACCAGTCTTAAATTGCCCGCATGGGATATTTTAGAGGCAGTTCCCTTTGCGCTTGATGCGGCCTTAACGGCCTGTGCCCATGGAAGGCTTTCACCACGTGAACTAACTACAGGTTAGTTAGTTGAGTATCAGTTGAACATTTTCTTCATATTATTGAAGTGTTTTGGGGTGAGCTTCTTAAGGGAAGTCTATGCTGCTGGCTTGGATAAATGGGATGTAAAGTTGGTTTGATTTTTGTATATAAAAAGAGTTCATTAGTTCATCATCCATCTTGTTATCCATGAAGTGGTAAATCCATTTTTAAAAAGTGGATATTATTAATTCGATTCAAATAATCTATTTGTAATCATGTCGTTTATGGTTGCTTACTTAGTTAGTGATCCAATAACTGCTTTCATAATCCAGTGTGGATCACATTTAAAAAAATTATAAATCCATTGCAACCTGATACATTTATAATGAGTTATCACTCCATAGTCTATTCTTAACTAAAAATACTAACGTATTATTATATCCATTGTTTAGCATCTATATGCATATGAAAAGTAATTTAAAAAATGGCTGGATTGAATATCAATCAGTAAAAATGTTGATGATGATGTATTTCATTAAATTAAATGGATCAAGGATGAGTTGAGTTGTTGTTAACGAATTCTTCATGGATCATAAATGGATTATTTCAACCCATCCATCTGAATGAACAAATATCTGATCCATCCATTTGCTACCCATAGCATCTTCACATCCAGGGGGCATTATTGGGTTGCCCTACACCCATAAATCTAGCTTGCTCCATTGCCAAATCTCTTCAAGGATAAAACTGAAAAGATTTAGGCAATACTCATAATCTACTTTCTCTTTAAAAAGGACACAGCTACAATAGCTTCACACTAAAAGCAATTGAATGTCATAGACAGTGGTCTTTCCTCTTTAACTTTAACTTCTGCTCATTTTTATTTTATTGCTGCCATACAATTTAAATGTTAAAACTTACAACCATGGACATTTTTTATCTCAGGGATTAAGGACCTTGCTGATTTCCTTCCTGCTTCTTTGGCAATAATTGTAAGTTACTTCTCAGCTGAAGTAACAAGAGGAGTTTGGAAGCCTGCACCCATGAATGGAACTGATTGGCCAAGTCCTGCTGCTAATCTAGCTTCAGTTGAACTGCAGATAAAGAATTCATTAGCAGCTACCGGTGTTCATGTCCCAAGTCTTGCTGTAGGTATGTATGTACTTATTTTACTCCAATCACCCATACCAATTGCTTTGTTGGAGAAGCTACCCCCTCTCCTCTGTTCCTTGAGGCATGTGTTGGTATCCCGGAAAATGCTAGGGAAAGGAAAAAGTGTAAAAGTTATTTTCTTCTGCTTGGTTTTACCTCAAAAGTGAATAGGAAAATGACAGATATATGACAAATGTTTTCAACTTTTATTGCACATTTAATTTCATCACCTTTATATAATGGTGTGTGTGTGTGTATATATAATGAGTGTGAAAATAATACATAGATAAGTTTATTGAGTTTGACCCTATGTTTATTTCCTTTCCTTTCCTTTCAAATTTCCCCTGTATTTCTCAATTTTCTTTTGGTTTTACCTCAAAAAATGCATAGGGAAATGGTAGATATATCATATATGACTAATGTTTTAAATTTTTATTACACATGTTTGATTTCATTAGCTCAAGTATAACAGAATATGTGTGTGTGCATCTCTATGTATGTTTATATTCCGTTTTTAATTTCTCATTTTAATTAAAAAAATATGTATCTATAGCAGCATTTATATATGTTTGTGTGTAAATTTATGCATGTAATGAGCATGAAAAAATATCAAAAATAAATTTATTGAGTTTGAACAACATTTTATTTTCTTTCCCTCGAATTTCCCCTATGTTTTCATCATTTTTTCTAACAGTTTCATGAGTTTCAATTCTCAAAGGACCCCTTTAATAAGTTGAGTTTATTTATATCAAGATATCATGATTGCATTTGTAATAAAAAGGTCATTCTTCATAGCATCACACCATATTTCAACACTTTGTTTCATCCATAGGTGGAAGCTCCATTTCTACTCTACCACTGCCCCTGGCCGTGCTTCTCAGTTTCACCATAACTTACAAACTTGACAGAGATACCGAGCGCTTTCTCAACTTTGTGGGACTTTCCATGAGTAATCTGGGCACCGTCTGTCCCTGGCCATCTATGCCCATCATCGTCTCCCTCTGGGGCCAGAAGATAAAGCGATGGAGTGACTATCTTACGTTCTCTGCATCCCGTACCGTATTCCACCACAACAGTGATGCCGTTGTCCAACTTCTTAGGGTCTGCTTCAAAGCCACCCTTGGTTTAAACAGTTCCATCACGGCAAGCAGTGGTGGGGTAGGTGCACTTCTTGGTCATGGATTCGTCTCTCATTTATCTAGTGGTACATGTCCTGTTGCTCCTGGAATAATGTACTTGCGTGTCCATAGATGCGTTAGGAACACCTTGTTTATGACAGAGGAGATTATTTCCCTTGTGATAAGTTCTGTTGAAGACATTTCAAACAGCGGCTTACCAGCTGAGAACCTTGAAAAGCTCAAGAAAACGAAATACGGGTTGAGATATGGTCAGGTCTCACTTGCAGCAGCCATGACCCGTCTCAAGGTAGCAGCTTCACTAGGGGCGTCTTTGGTTTGGATAACCGGCGGTTTGAGTTTAGTCCAATCTCTGATTAAAGAAACCTTACCCTCGTGGTTCATATCCGTACAGAAACCGGAACCCCAAACTGGAGTCGAAATGTTGAGGGGATATGCACTTGCGTATTTCACGGTGCTTTGCTTAGCATTTGCTATGGGGGTGGAACCAGTGCTTTCACCTGGTTCTAGGCGGTCCAAGGTTCTCATGAGGCACATGGAGTTTCTTGTAAGCGCATTGGATGGGAAGATATCTCTGGGATGTAATGAAGCCACGTGGAGAGCGTATCTCTCGGGGTTTGTTAGTACGATGGTGGTTTCCACACCAAACTGGGTGAGGGAGGTTGATGTTGGGGTTGTGAAGAAGCTGAGCCAGGGGCTAAAGCAGTGGAAAGAGGAGGAGTTGGCTGTGGCGCTTCTTGGAGTCAGCGGGGTGGGTGGAATGGCCAAGGCTGCTGAAATGATTATAGAGCATGGGGTTTGAAGTTTTCCTAGATCGATGGATTAAGTTATAGATAGGCTAATCACAACCATGTTTGGGAGTTTATTTGTTTATCATAAACGGTTTTTAGATTTGTAATATAGTTATCACAGTTCAAATAGTAGTGCATTTTTTTTCTTCAAAATATAGTTATCATAGCATTAGTAGTATTAGAATTTCGTATTCCTGTTAGGTTCATATTCATTATTTATCCATATAACCATTGTAACAGCCTCTAAAAACTACGGAGTATGTTGTTAGTTAGAGTATTATTATCAATAAAAGTTGTACTACCCATGTCCCGTTAGAAGGTTCCCATAGCAAAATGGCACGATTATTTAGACAATAGTTAAATAAAGTACTTCGAGTATATTTTAAGAAATAATTTTAATAGGTATATATTATAATGTAGTTAGTATTGATAATTGTGATGTTATAAATGTATTATTTTTAATATTTAATGATTTAAGAAAGTAGTTGGACTCGGGCCGGGTCCTAAAAAGAAAGTGGGAACCTTCTAATGGGAGTGTGGGACAGAGGGAGTATGGTTGGACTCGGGCCGGGTCGGGCCTGGTAGGGCTGGCGGTTCTATATAGCTGGACCCGGGATCGGCCCGGGTAGCCACCGGTCCGGGCCGGGCCGGGCCTCGGGTTTGGTTTTTTTTTTGCTTAGCTACCCATCCCTGACCCCCCTCACCCCCAAACCCCTCCTAAACATCCAAGCCCAACCCGGTGGAGCCCAAACAAATGAAAAAAACCAAAAAAAAAAATTTGGCCCAAACCGGGCCTGGCCGGGCCGGGCCTTGTTATGGGTGACCCGAGCCCGGACCGGAAACCCACCGGGTCGGGCCTACCCGGACCGGTCACTGACCGGGCCACCGGTTCGGGCCGGGCCGGAACAGTACCGGTCCCGGGCCGGTTCCGGGTCGGGCCACCCGGTCCGAGTCTCACCCTAAGAGGGAGTTGTTGACAAGTGGGAGGTGTTGACAAACTAGTGACAATTTTCTTAGGGATTTTTTCACAAATAGACACAAAAGTGAAAATAATACTCCCTCCGTCCCAAAATAAATGTCTTGTTTGCTATTGCACAAGTTTTAAGAAAGTAGTTGAAAAAGTAAAAGTTGTGGTTGACATTTGAGTAGAAAAAGGTGAATTGATATGAGCCACCCATTATTGCCAAAAGAGGAAACAAAACAATTATTTTGGGACGGACCGAAAAGCAAAGTAAGACGTTTATTTCGGGACGGAGGGAGTATCATTTTTTCACTTTTCAAAGTTCTTTTCAAGAAACTGGGGACTTGTGTTGGGGAATATTATCCCGATCTGTTACTGTTCAGAAGCCCAAAGCACCACCTCATTGCGGAGCCCAGTTGTCGAGGCCCATTTAGGCCCCTCGAATCTGCTTAGAGCCATTTAGACCCACTCGATGAGTGGCACTCGGCCTACTTGGGGTGGTTTCGGCCTATTAAGGCAGTTAGGCTCATTAGGCTAGCAAATACACCCTCCCCCCTTTATATAAATAGGAAGCCTTTGCTTCCATTTGAGGGTCTTCCGGGCTCCTCCCTTCTACTGCTACTTATTTTGTAGGCAAGTTATTCAACCTCTATTAATGGAGCTCAAGATTTGTATTATGTAAATGGTGAGGAGAGTATAATGAGAAAAAGCGGGCTTGGACGTTAGCCCAAAAAGTCCCGTGGTTTTCTCCCTTTTCGGATTTCCACGTAAAACAGAGCATTTCATACATATTATATGTATATTTATTAATTTATGTTGGACTAAACTCAACAATAACCAATTGTTCTTTTCCTTTCAAAAATAGACTATGTGCTTTGTGTATTGAACCAACGTACCGTAATCTTCACTTCAAAGAAGCACGCCTCGATAGTGGTTACTTCACACATTTGATAAATTTATATAAACTCCAAGAATTACTCGACTCATGTTTCTAAATAAAAGATTTAAATATGTAGTAAAAGAGAAGAAGATAATTAAAAAATAACAAAAGTATTGAAATTAGATTAAAATAAAAAATAAAAAATAATTAAATTAAGAAATCACATAATGCATAATAAAAATTGAGGCTGAAAACTCGTAAGCTAAATTTCAAAAAAAGGAATATAAATTTAAAAAATAAATCAGAATATATGAAAATGTATAAAAATTTGAAAATAAAAAAAATCAAATGTAAAAATAAGAAATATTTAGAATAATTTATAATGTGGAAAACTTGTAGAAATAGAACAATTTCCGTAATTTTATTTCTTAGAAGACTTTGTGATGGAGTATATGGCCCAGGAACCCCCGGTCCATAGACTCCTACTATTCTAAGGGACGCCCAATAGGTCCAGGAAGCACAACAGGCCCAAATCACAACGCCCCAAGTACTAAGCAACTCACGTGGCACACTAGGGATGCCTTCGGCCCCCCTGACCGAAGGCTCCAATTCTCACAGGATGGCCAACTCAAGCAAACAAAGTTACTGGGAGAGAACGGTGAAAATCAGTAGCCCTCGGCAGCTGGAGCCCTCGGTACTAAGGAGGTCCCCGGTACTCAGAGCCCTCGGCTAATCACCTGCAGCCGAGGGCACCTTTCTCGACATAATATCCTCTCCACATGCGCCTAAATCACCGTACCAAGTACGATGTCACATCCAACAGCCGCATTTAATGCGGCCACATGCGAATGCCAGCGCCACCCCGTTGAGGTGACTCCTCGACCACCAGAATGATGACATGTGTCCCTATCCGGCATTTATTACTACTATAAATAGCGCCCCTTTTCCCCATTTGTAACTCAAGCGAAATACGCTCACTACTTTCTCAGCAATATACTCTCTCTCTTATTTATGCTTTGACTTCTCTCTAGTTATTTCCCGCAATAACCCCTCGGATAAGCTACCCCCCGGGTAGGCTATCCATCATTTGGTGCTCTCGTTGAGAGGTCGAATAATCAAGTAAGAAACCCTCCCCCTCGCCAAACACAAAACACCTAGCTAAAATGGTGAGAACAACTCGTGCCAACTCCAAGAACATTGAGGACAGGAACCTGGCCCTCGGCGAAGTCGACGTCCCCAAAGCCTCTAACAGGGCTCCCGGGGGCGGCGTCATCACCGGGTTGGACCAGACGGCTGTCGACCTACGCCATCAGATTCAACAGAATGCCTCCGATGCCCGCATCGGCATCGAGGCCAAGAAGAAGGACCGGAGCGAGAACCAAGTTAGCCCTCCGGTCATCACTATCGACGTACAGTCGGCGTTTTCCGCCTTCATCCAGACGCTCACCCAGAACCCGGGTGCCTTCGGCACTTTGGTTCCCCTCCAACCTCAGGTCGGGGAGAATATCATGCCCCCCCCTCATCAACACCCCCTCGGGAAGCCTGTCCTCCGGATTAGGAACGCCGAGAGGGTCGTGGCCCAAGATACGGCCTCCCAGGAAGTCCAATCCCGGGACCGCCACAACGTGAACAAGGAGCGGCCCCGGATCTCCGCCCTCGACAGACTCGGAGGGGCACAAGACAGCCGAGGGGTCCAAGACCGCCTCGGGGGGAAGGTGATCCAGAGGCCTCAGGAGAGTGGCGGATCCGTCTCCAGGGCTAATGAAAGACGTCCCCCTCAGGACAAGGGCAAGGCACCTCTCCATGCAAACGACGCCCGCCACCAAATCAACCAGGCCCACTCGGCCCGTGTCAATTCGCAGGGGCGGAGGCCCTCCCGAAGGATCCCCGGGACGAAATCATTGCGGCCCTCCAACGTCGACTTGACGAGATGGAGGCCACCAAAGCACACGCCACCACTTCTGCCCCTCATACAGACCTGAAGTATGAGGCCATGATGGCCAAGATGGAGGAGATGCAGAAAAAGATAACCGAGGGCTCCGGGGAACCCACCATACAACTCTGAACCCGGATGCCATTTACCCCAAGGGTATTGGCGGCCCGGATCCCGGAAAAGTACCGAGGGAAACTCATCAAGCCCTACGACAGAAAGACTGACCCCCAGGAGCACTACAGCAGGTACCAAAACAGTATGATGATGGTGGGGGCATCAGACGAGTATTTGTGCCGTTGGTTCCTCTCCACCTTAGAGGGGCCAGCTTACGAATGGTTCAACCGGTTGCCCGAGGGCTGCATCGACTCGTGGCAAGAACTCGCCCAGCGATTCTTGACACAATTTGCAGGAAGGCGCCGCATAAGAAAACACTTCTCCCACTTGCTGACGGTGAGGCAAAGGAAAGAGGAGACCCTTCGGGACTTCTTGGAGCGCTGGAGAACGGAGGCTGATAAAGTTGATGGCGCAGACAACGGGACCCTCCTGGCCCTCCTCCAAACAGTACTCCGCCCCGGAAACTTCTCAAGGAGCCTCATCATCGACCCCCCCGCGATTATATAAGGGCCCTACAGCGGGGGGACAGGTATGCCGAAGCCGAGGAGGTGGAGAAATGCCATCATAACCCCGATCAGCAACGCCCTCGGCCAGACGACAAAGGCAACCGGGGGACGGGGGCTCCTCATAATCAACCAAAGGGTTCAGCACCCCCCGGTGATCGCCCCCGGCACGGCCAAGCCAAGCCCGGGGGAGGTGACTAGGGGAACCCGAGGGCTTGTGCACAGCATGTTCTCCTGGATCACCCTCGGACACCTTTGACGCACCCCGTCAGCGTCATCCTTGACTTCACTGAGGAAAGGGGCCTGGTGGAGCGAGATTCTCGCGCACCCCCGGAAGTGTATGCCATCAATCCAAACTACCCCTACTGTCGCTTCCACCGGCATCAGGGGCATAGAACCGATGACTGCCATCAGCTGAAGACGACTATCGAAAGGTTGATACAGGCGGGCCATTTGTCCCAATTTGTCCAGGGCCCTCAGCAACAGGGCCCCCCTCACCAAGGGCCACCTCGAGGGAACTCTGCGAAAGCAAACGCATGGGTCAACCCCAACACCACCCCCTCGACAAGAAGAGGGAGATTGGGAACCTGGAAGAAGAGGAGGAAGAGTACCCTCGGTACCAAGAAAAGAAGTGCCACATCCTCATGATCACTGGGGGCAATACCGAGGGTGACTCTACCAGTCAATGAAAGAAGTGGGCTCAATCACTTTACGTGGGGAAGTCACTCATATTCCCCCAGTAAAGCGGCTGAGGGAGGAACCCATCACCTTCACTAACGCTGATCTCCCCCCGATGTCCTCCCCACAGAGGGATGCCCTCGTCATCCGCACGGAGATCAATGACACTATCATTCACCGAACTTACGTTAACACAGGTAGCTCCGTCAATGTAATGTACCTCAGCACCTTCAGAGAGCTGCATCTAGA